GGTGAAAACTTGCTCCATTATGTAGTACAACCTGGATGCAACTTGGATAAGGTTTGTATATTCTATGTGGCCACAATAATGCTGGATTTGAATGAAAGTAGTACATGAACCTTTTCCAAAATTGCAGGACACATGTGAGAGAATTTTTGGGAGCCTAGCCACGTATGGGACCCAAACAGTAATGACCATCATTAGGCTTTCAAAGGCCTCAGAAGCCTTGAAATGCCAGGACAGTACAACCTACCCCCCAAATGAACCCCTTTCAGAAAGTAGTAACCCCAAGTTATTTGCTGAGAGGCATGTTGAGTCCATGGAAGATTTCAGTTTTTGGAAAATGGGGAAACATTTTTTTTTTACTCAAAGTTTTCACTTAAATTATATGTACCATGGGTATATGTGGAATAACACCCCAAGAAACATTCTGCTACTTCTCCCAAGTAGGGGGATACCACATGTAAGAGACTTTCTGGCAGTCTAGCCACATACAGGCCTCCAAAATCCAATGACCATCTTCAGGATATAAAAGGGCATATGTCCTCATGTTACTTCTTCATTATCTACACCAAGTAATTAGATACCAAACATGCCATGCTTTAAAATTGTGCATGCCCCTGCAATGGTGACAAACTACATACAGTATATTTTTAGTATCCATAAGTGAAGCTTTAAAATCCTTTACACGTTTCACAAAAAAAAACAATGCCAGGATGATGGCTGCAGGTATCATCTCAGTATAACCACTCAAAGTCCAGTGACTTACCAGTACATCAGTGAACCTTGTTGGGCATAAACGTAATGTTCTTTTTTTCATGCAGCCCGTGGGCTGAATGAAAAAAAAACAGATTCTTCCATTCACAGCGATCATTGTGGATGAAGAAATCTCTGCCAGAAAAAGCGTGTAGTATGCCCACCATTAAAATATTCTGCCCTGCAACCACCCACTTATAACATTGGGCATACATGTAATGTTCTTTTTTTCGTTCACCCCATGTGCTGAGCACATAAAATAACCTAAAAGGTTCCTTCATTCACATCAATTGATGTGAATGAAGAAATTTCTTCCAAAAAAAAAGAAAAAAATATATGCTGAAGCATAGGAGCAATCCACCCACTGACTACCCCAGACCCCCATGCTTGCCCTGCATGCACCCTGTTGCTGTCAAAATAAACAGATCAGTGCTGCAGCTGATTGCCATTCCTACAAAGCAAACAACAACAGTTCACAAAAAAACACAGCATCAATAAAACATTAACTCAATAAAATGAAAACTTTTTTTATTGAAATCTGTGCTAAAAAAAATTAAAAATATATATTCCAAAGCATAGGAGCAATCTGCCAACTGACCACCCCAGGCTCACATGCTTGGGCATATACTGTATTTTCTTTTTTTAACTTCAGATGAAAAATCTCATCCAGCGGCGCTGTACAGACTGATGTATATATTCTGAAAGCATGACCCTGTTGTTGTCAGAATAAACAGATTGGTACTCTTGTTTTTATTTTTTTTTACTTTTTATTTATTTGTTTATTTCTACTTTTTTTGTGATTTTGCAGAACAGTTTCTTAATCTTACAGTTTACTCACTATCTAACATCTTTCAAGACCTTGTGTGAAAATTTTGAAAATGTGCCCTAGACTGTGCCTTGCTGTACACTATATTAATACTCCACTAGTATGTGGCAGCAATGGAAGCAGTACTTGAGGCAGGGACTAGGTTGGCCAGGACAGGAAGGTCAAAAAGCTGGTGTCACCTCTTATTCTGTGTTTGCTGCAGACACAACATCTTCTTTGGGGTGACCTTTGGGTTGAGGTACCAGAGAGGACATCATGGCTCTCATGCAGCCAGCTCACTGCATCTGGATTTGGGGACTGGGCATTGGGGGAAGCTCTGGCAATTAGGTCACATATTGTCACATGAGCAAATTTCAAGACTGTACAAATGTCTAAATAGTGGCATGCTTTTATAACGGTTGTCCATATATATGTGGTGCCCCTTTTGTGGAACAAAGACAACACCAACTCCCATACTATCTTGCCACTGCTCCCCATGTAGTCTGGGCAGTCGGGGGGCTCTACTTCACTGCCTCTTCCCTCATAAACCATAAAATAACATTTATAGCCTGCAGCCCTCTCACAGAGCTTACACATTTTGACACCAGATCTGGCATGCATGCTGGGGAGAAACTAAATGCAAGGCAGCCAGTAAAATGTATGAGGAACTCATGCACACAGATGTTTTGCTGGGGCGTATACACATCTGCAAATTTCTTAGTGAGGTGGTTTATGAGGGGCCAAATTTTGTAGAGCTGGTCATGTAGACATCACCTCCACAACATCTCCAAGATACTCCCGTTCCTAACCTCGAAAACCACTAAGCAACTTATTCATTCCCTTGCTATATCTCGCCTTGACTATAGTAACTCCCTCCTCATTGGCCTAACGAATCGCGGGCTATCCCCTCTTCAGTCTATCATGAATGCTTTTACCAGACTCATCCACCTTACTAACCGTTCTGTATCTGCCACCCCTCTCTGCCAATCCCTCCATTGGATTCCCGTTGCCCAACGGATAAAATTCAAAACACTAACAATAACGTATAAAGCCATTTATAACTCTGCCCGAAATTACATCACTGATCTTATCTCTAAATATCACCCAAACCGTACTCTCTGCTTCTTGCAAGACCTCTTATTGTCTAGCTCCCTTGTCTCCTCCTCCCAATCTTGTCTCCAGGACTTCTCCAAAGCTTCCCCCATCCTCTGGAACTCTCTACCCCAATTTATCAGACCATCGCCTACTCTGCTCACTTTTAGGCGATCTCTGAAAACCTATCTCTTCAGGGAAGCCTATCCTGCCCTCCGCTAATACTTGAATCTTCTACTCTTCCAACCAGTCCATCCCCCACAGTTACTACATTTTGTACCACTAGCCCCTCCTTCCTAGATTGTAAGCTCCAAGGAGCAGGGCCCTCAAATCCCTCTTGTATTGAACTGTATTGATGCTGTATTGTCTCCCGTTATATTGTAAAGCGCTGAGCAAACTGTTGGCACTATATAAATCCTGTATAATAATAATGTTCAGGGTCACCTCAAGGATAACAAGTGTGTTATCACTGAAATGCATGAAGCGCATTATTGTCTCATATCTACGCCTGGCCATGGCAGCAGAGAACATTGGCATATGATGAATTGGGTTGGTAGACCAATATGATCGCAACTCATTCTTTTTTGTAATGCCCATGTTGAGGGTTAGGCCCAAAAAAAAATCCAGGCCTTTTGTAAAGTAATCCACTGAGCTGGACTGATACAATTCTTGAGGGAGTCTATTCCACATTTTCACAGCTCTTACTGTGAAGAAACCTTTCCATGTTTGGAGATTCAATTTATTTACCTCTACATGTAAAGAGTGCCCCCATATCCTCTGTGATGACCTCAAGGTGAATAACTCCACACTGAGTTCACTATATGAACCACTGATGTATTTATACGTTGATCATATCCCCCCTTAATCTCCTCTTCTCAAGAGAGAATACATTCAGTTCCTCTAATCTTTCCTCATAGCTGAGCTCCTCCATGCCTCTTATCAGTTTGGTTGCCCTTCTCTGTTCTTTCTCCAGTTTCCCAATGTTATTTTTGTGAATTGGTGCCCAAAATTAAATTGCAAATTCCAGATGAGGTCTTACTAATGATTTGTACAGGGGTAATATGATATCTCTCTCTCTGGAGTCTATACCTCTTCTAATACAAGAGAGGATTTTGCTCGCTTTAGAAACCGCAGCTTGGCATTGCATGCCATTATTAAGCTTGTGATCTACCAGAACTCCCAGATCCTTCTCCACCATTGATTCCCCCTGTTGTACGCCCTCTAGTATATATGATGCATGCATATTCTATAGTTACCCAATTAAACAGTGCATTGAGGTCGGCTTGTAAATTGGAGACATCCTGTAAGGACGTTATTCCACTGCACAGCTTGGTGTCATCTGCAAAGACTGAAATGGTATTTTTAATCCCAGAACCTATATCATTTATAAATATATTAAAAGGTAAGGGTCCCAACACTGAACCTTGGGGTACACCACTAACAACCCTAGACCATTCAAAGTATGAATCATTAACCACTACTCTCTGAATACAATCTTTTAGCCAGTTTTCTATCCATTTACATACGGATTTTTTCAAGCCCGTAGACTTTACCTTACACAATAGCCATGTGTGGGGAACTGTGTCAAACGTGTTTGCAAAATCCAAGTATACCACGTCCACCACCACCCCTCTGTCCAAGGTTTTCCTCACCTTCTCATAAAAAGAAATCAGATTTGTTTGACAACTTCTGCCTTGCATGAATCCATGCTGTCTATTGCTTAAAATATTTTTTTCCAGCAAGAACTTATCTATGTGGTCTTTTATTAAACTCTCCAGTATCTTCCCAACTATAGATTTTAAACTTACAGGTCTATAATTACTCGGTGAAGATTTTGACCCCTTTTTAACCACTTGCCTACCAGGCACTTATACCCCCTTCTTTACCAGGCCAATTTTCAGCTTTCAGCGCTATCGCACTTTGATTAACAATTGCGCGGTCATGCAACATTGTACCCATATGAAATTTTGATCATTTTTTTCTCACAAATAGAGATTTCTTTTGGTGGTATTTAATCGCCACTGGGCGCTTTACTTTTTGTGCTAAAAATAAAAAAAGTGTAAAAAATTTGAAAAAAAAAAAAAAGTTTCTTTGTTTCTATTATAAAATTTTTTCAAACAGGTATTTTTTCTCCTTCACTGATGTGCGTTGATGAGGCAGCACTGATGGGCACTGATAGGCGGCACTGATGGGCACTGAGAGGCAGTACTAAAGGGCACAGATAGGCAGTACTAATGAGGTGGCACGGATAGGCGGCACTGATAGACAGCACTAATGAGGTGTCACGGATAGGCGGCACTAATATGCAGCACTGATAGGCGGCACTGATAGGTGACACTGATGATGGGTACTGATAGATGGCACTGACTGGCATCACTGCTGGGCACTGACTGGTGGCACTGACTGGCACAACCCCTGGGCAGTGACTGGTGACACTGACTGGCAGCACTGCTGGGCTGCACTGGTGGTTGGTGGCACTGGTGGGCAGCACTGGTGGGTGGGCACAGGTGGGTGGCACTGGTGGGCACAGGTGGGTGGGCACAGGTGGGTGGCACTGCTGGGCACAGGTAGGTGGCACTTCTGGGCACAGGTAGGTGGCACTGCAGAGTGGCACAGGTGGGTGCACTGCTGGGCACAGGTGGGTGCACTGCTGGGCACAGGTGGGTGGAGCTAGTGGGTGCACTGCTGGGCACAGGTGGGCGGAACTTGCGGGTGGCACTGCTGGGCACCGATCATCAGGGCACTGATGATCGGTGCCGATCCCCGCTCTGACAACTGCCGGTTCTCGGCAGTACTTTCCTCACGATCTGACAGCGTGAGGAAAGTGCAGCCGAGAACCGGCACTTGCATTTCCCTCTGATCAGCGTGTCATTGGACACCGCTGATCAGGTGGTAAAAGGCCGCTGTGATTGGCCTTTTACCACATCACGTGATCAGCTGTGTTCGTAGGACACAGCGATCACGGAGATCGCCGGGTGTGCGCCCCCTGGGGCGCGCAGGAGAGCGTGTTCTGGAAGGACGTCATATGACGTCCACTCAGAACTGGCCGGCCGCAGTGCAGCCGTCATTCGGCTATCTGCGGTCGGCAGCTAATTAAATATAGGCATCACATTGGCCTTATGCCAGCCCAGTGGTACTATGCCAGTCATTAAAGAATCCCTAAAAATTAGAAACAATGGCTTTGAAATGACAGAATGTGAATAATACGAACACCCCCAAAAATAAACAATAACCTCAACGGAAAAGATAAACTACTTTCACCCTTGAAAGTGATATAATCAGCAAAATGTTCTTTTCATTTCCCCTGTATACCTTTTCTTAACTAAATCTATAAAGATATCCAAACCTAAATGTGCAATCTTAATTACCCCAAATACACATCTATCAACAACAAACATAAAATAAAATAAATAAAATACAATACAATAAGATAAAATAAATAAAATAAAATAAATAAATAAACTTAGTGTCCAAAAAGTGTCCTTTTTCTATATACAACCAAATCACTTTTTCTCCACTTCAGTCGCTTCTCCTTGTGATATTTTGTATGAAATTTCAAATACGATGATCCAGTAGAAAAAACCTCAAAGAAATATATAAATCGCAAATAGTGTATTATCTTAATACAAAAATTTATTTCTGCACTATGTGTCATGCATACTCCAACACAAAGTGTTCAAGCAGTGAGAGAAGAAAAAAAAAAAAAAAAAAAATGTATCTATAATCTCTAAATATGCTGTAAATGTGCATCAACACTATATCTCGAAGCACATTCCAAGTGCATCTATATAATGTGACAGTGAGCTCAACACACTGCAACCAATGCTCAAAATGTGAATCAAATCAACCAATGTAAAGGTGACCACTCCAAACTGGTGCTGCAAATGAACAATTACCCTATGTTCATTTGCAGCATCAGTTTGGAGTGGTCAGCTTTACACTGGTTGATTTGATTCACATTTTGAGCATTGGTTGCAGTGTGTTGAGCTCACTGTCACATTATATAGATGCACTTGGAATGTGCTTCGAGATATAGTGTTGGTGCACATTTAGAGCATATTTAGAGATTATAGATAATTTTTATTTATTTTTTTTCTTCTCTCACTGCTTGAACACTTTGTGTTGGAGTATGCATGACACATAGTGCACAAATAAATTTTTGTATTAAGATAATACACTATTTGCGATTTATATATTTCTTTGAGGTTTTTTCTACTGGATCATCGTATTTGAAATTTCATACAAAATATCACAAGGAGAAGCGATTGAAGTGGAGAAAAAGTGATTTGGACTTGTTGTATATAGAAAAAGGACACTTTTTGGACACTAAGTTTATTTATTTATTTTTATCTTATTGTTTGAAATGACAAAGTTCAATTCTGTAAGGACCCGTGCGTGTATGCCATCCGGTCCAGGTGCTTTATTCACCTTTATTCTGTCTAAATATTTATGGATCATATCAATTGTAAGCCAATGTGGATCATCTGGAGCTGTGTCAATACCATGCCCATTATGGACAAGAGCTCCCCCATGCTCCTTTGTATACACAGAGCTGAAGAAGATATTTAATAAATTTGCCTTCTCTTTGTCCCCAGTCACCAACTATAGATTATTTTGTAAAGGGCCTACATGCTCGGACCGGACCTTTTTACTATTAATATATTTGAAGAATATTTGGGGGTTGGTCCTGCTATCTTTTGCAATCTGTCCTTCATTTTCATTTTATGCTGCCTTTATTTCCTTTTTGCATATTCTGTTACATTCTTTGTAATGTTTAAACGACGATAGTGTTCCTTCATTTTTATAATTAATAAAAGCTCTTTTTTTTATTAATTATATAGCTTTTTTAACTTTGGCCGTAAGCCACATAGGTTTGATTTTTAGCCTTTTAAACTTGTTGCCCATGGGAATATATTTTGCAGTGTGTTCACATACAGTCTTTTTGAAGAACTCCCATTTGTGTTGTGTTCATTGATACCAATATTCCTTCCCAGTCTAAGTCTTGAAGAGCAGCTCTCAGCCTTGGAAAATCAGCTTTCTTAAAATTGAGCATTTTTGTGTTTCCCATATGTGCTTGTTTACAGCTAACAATAAATGAAATTTAGAAATCTAGAATAATATGGAAACATATTTTGTTCTTCTTTTATAGGGATTACGATCTCCAGAAATGAACAGGAAAATGCAGAGCAGAAGGGGTCAGGGATTGGATGGGGGGGGGGGGGGGGGGGTGTGGTAAACAGTTAGGGGGGAAGAGATGAAACGATAAATGTTTTGATAATAAGCTAAGGTTTTAATGAGTATGTTTGCATAACTTGTTTATCTGAAAGATTAATAAATATTTATATTAAAAAAAAGCAATAAATGAAATCATGATATGGTCACTGCTACCCAGATGTTCTTTTATATGAACAGTCGTAATAAGCGCTGCATGGTTTGAGATTACCAGGTCCAGCAGAGCATCATTCCTAGTTGGGGCCTCCATGAACTATACCATAAAATTGTCCTGTAGTATGTTTAAAATTTGTTGCCCTTTAATTGTTCCTGCAGTACCATTACTCTGGTAAATTTCTCGGTTGTTAAAATCCCTCATTATTATCACTGTCCCAGCCCTTGCAGCCCTTTCGATCTGTGCAAGGAGCTGAGTCTCCACCTCCTCATTAACACTGGGAGGCCTATAACAAACTCCAATGATTACCTTTGTAGTACGCACCCCCATGTTTAGTTCCACCCATAATGCTTCAGCCTCATCACACTCTCCATCAACTAGGTCCTCTTTCTCACATAGATACAGACACCACCACCTTTCCTTTTTACCCTGTCTCTCTGAAAGAGAACATAGCCAGGAAAATGAATGGCCCAGTCATGTGAAGAATGAAGCCAAGATTCAGCAATACCAATTAAATCATAGTTCTGTTCATGAACCAAAGCTTCCAACTCACCTACAGTATTTTGCATGGCAGACTTCTGGCATTGGTAAACAAACACTGTAATTCATTGACACCTTGTGTACACGTGTTTTGCAATTCCAATGGTTGTTTGTAACATGGGAATCTTCTTATCATCGTCCATAGCCCTCCCCCCATCTTTCCCCATTCCACCAACCAATAAGAACTGACTCCTGCCTGATCTGTCTAGCCCATTATAATCTAATTCTCCCTCCCCCCTTGATCCTAGTTTAAATACTCCTCCAGCCTCCCCATAAACCTCTACCCCAGCACAGCAGACCCCCTTTCATTTAGGTGCAAACCATCTCCAGCATATAGGTTGCACCCCAATGAAAAGTCAGCCCAATGCTCTAGAAACCCAAATCTTTCCCTCTCTGCATTAAGTTCTCTAATCTCCCCATTTTCCCTGAGTTGCGCATGGCACATTTAATATTTCAGTTAATATCATCTTGGAGGTCCTTCCCTTCAACTTGCAACCTAATTCTTTAACTTGATTCTTAAGGAGCCTCCACCTTCCATGTATTCTGTCATTGGTTTCAACATGGACCAAGACAGCTGGGTCATGCTCAGCCCCTCCCAGTAATTTATCAACCCTGTCCACCACATGCTGAACCCTGGCACCAGGGACACAGCAAGCCATTTGGTTGAGGCGATCCTGGCAACAATTTATTCTATCAGTCCAGCTGATTATAGTATCCCCTACTACCACCAACTGTCTAGGCCTTCCTGCACTACCCTTGCCCCCCTCCCAGATGGTCTTCCCTCCTGGCTGTTAGGGATAGCAGTGACATGACTGGACTGGTGCGGCCTAAAAAAGACATAATTAAACAGATATTTCTTACACAGGTCATTCAGAATAGGTGTTCAGAGGGGGCAGGGGACTCTGAGGAACCTCATGCCAGCCATCAAAGAAATTATGCTCTTTTTCATGCAAATTCAAAATACAAACAAGTGCACCACAGCAAGCACGTGGATGCACAGGCATGTCCACCACAGATCCAGGTATCTGATGGCCTATTTAAACCTAAGGCCAGCATAGTATCATTGCAGCTTATTACTATCTGTGTTTCTGAAGCCTGTTAAACTCCATTCTTGACCTGGCTACATCTGACTTTTCTCTGGATTACCCTTACCTGTTCATATCTGCTGCTCATCCATGTTACCAACCTCAGCCTGGATTTTTGATAGTTTCTTCCTTCTTATTCTGTACTTCACTGCCAGCATGCTACTGTTTGTCTGTGACCTAGATTTGTGATTTGGTACCTCTACGTCCAGCTGTTACCAGATTTGGCTTGTGACCTGACTCCAAGCTTCTGCTCATCTGACATCAGTTCTTTCCAGTTCAAGTTCACTGGTCCAACTTTCAGCTTCCTGGCACCTGCACCCTTCTGCGGCCCTAGCAGTCCTTGTCTCCATTTCCAGGAGTGCCTAGGTGGGAATTGTGCAAGCAGCTACCCTCTTCACCTCTCTCTGGAATTCTACTTTAAACCTACCTGTGAAGTGATGCATTTTAAGGATGTTCTACATCAAAGGTGACATTCAGAAAGAATAAAGATTTGCACTAAATGACATTTCCCTGCTGACTTTTTCATGCATCATGACTCCCCAAATCAAAATGTATTAAGGCTTAAAGGGCAACATTAAAACTGCACAATTCCTTTAAATAAAATGCTTGAGGGATGCTTTAAAACTGCCTGTGAAATGGTGCATCTCTATGAAAAATTTAAATTGCTGTCCATTAAATGAAATTTCCTGGCCACTTTGTTCTGTTCATAAACAAAATGGACTGGGATTTCTCTCACCTATACAAGAACCTTATCCAAGATGAGGGTCTGGTATGGATTGTAAGGAAAACCCCATACACAAATTGCCTGGGGTTCTCATTAAAAATGCATACCAGCCTCTTTTGAAAGGGGTCCCCAAGAAAACCTCCATTTGGAACTAGACTAGACTATATACTCTCAACATT